CGCGGCGGCCGCCCCGCGTGCGAGCCCGGGACTCCGGTCTCGGCCGCCGCCCTCGCTGGGGACGCCTGCGTCCCCGAGTGGGGCGCCAGAAGCCTGGGGACCCCGAGAGGCCGCGAAGTTGGCCGTGGCTGGGAGAGGCGACAGGCGGCTTCGCGGGCGCACGACAGAGCCCGCTTGCGGTGGCGAGCGTCGAGGTGCTCAAGTGCCCGGTCCGCGGTGCCGAAGACGCGGCTTGCGGGCTGTCTTCTGTGGAAAGAAGCACAGGCAAAGATCTCGCACTTCTGGTGTGACACCTTGCAAAAATAAACCGCCGTCACTGGTCAGCGATTCACTGAACAGACTTGGGTGCTCTACGTTGTAAGCCCTTTCTCCGGGAATGTGCGCGGGGGGGTGGGGACGGAAGGTGAGCCCGAGAGGGCGACCGCGGTGAGCGAGCGCGCCAGGAACTGAGTGTCGGAAGGTGGCAGGTGGAGGCGGCGAAGTTGCGGAGCGCGCAGGAGGGAGGAGCCACGTCTAAGGATCGAGGCCCGCCAGTGCCCATTTATTTGAGCAGGAAGGTGAGTAATGAACTGGACAGGGACAGGATGAGAATCTGGGAGTTGGAGGGAGGGTAGGGGAATGGGAGAAAAAGAAGAATCAAGTTACAGCAGAGAGGTGGCTGACTCCGGATGTGGAGTTTCAGAGGGTGTCCCTGCTGCTAGTTGTACAATCTCAGACTAGTTTGTTTCCTTGCTGTTCGGTATCAGGGGTTGAACCAAGGGCCTTGGCATGCTAGGCAGGTGCTTTGCCCCTGAGCTATATCCCTACCCCCAGAAGGTTGTTTTGCTTGAAATGAATTGATAGACTTAGCACTTAACTATACTCCCACCAAGCATGGTACTGGGGCCGCAGCGGTGTACCTCCCAAGAGGTGTGAAAAATGAAGGGACTCGGTGAGTGCGGGTGGGAGGAGAAAGGGTTCCTGAGTGCTTAGCTTTGTGCCTGGAGTGCTGGGTGCTGCGGTGCTGCGGCGGGAAGGGAACAGGAAGTGAGCGGAGAGGGCACAGGTTCAGTATTACACGGTAATCCTCCCGAGTGCGTTTAACCCTCACGCCCAAGCTTCTGAACACACCCTGGCCAGCCCTCCAAAAGGAAAGCCTGCTCCCGGCGCTTGGCTGGGTTAGTGGTGTGTGGAGGGGTGTCTGCTTATACTACACCGTCAATTTGGAGGCGAGAGCAAGAAGAGGTCTCCCCTCGGATAATGAAGGAATAGAAACGAAGGTGAAGGACCACTGTGGAAACCAGTGTGGAGATTCCTCAGAAAACTAGACTAGAGGTTCTGGTAGACCCACTATTCCCCTTCTTGGTATCTTCCTGAAAGAATTAAAAGTGTCATACCACAGCATTGTGTGTGCACCCATGTTTATAGCAGCACAGTTGGTGCATGGATAAAGAAGACGTTTTTATACAATGGAGTACTACTCTTCCATAAAGAAGGATAAACTGGAGTCATTTCTAGCTAAATGGATGCACCTTGAGGCCATACTCTTAAGTGAAATAAATCAGACACACATTTGAAATACCACATTGTTTCTTTGGTATGAAAAATTGAAAGTGTAAATAAGGACCAAAATGTATAATAGATACTGTGAAATAGGAAAAAATGTTCAAGCCGGGCATAGTGGCACACGCCTGTAATCCCAGCACTCGGGAGGCCTTGTTGAGAGTTTGAGAACAGCCTGGGCTACAAAGTGAGCTCAAGGGCAGCCTGAACTGCATAGCCAGACCCTGTCTCAAAAAGACAAAAAAAAAAAAAAAGTTCAAATGCGAGGGGGAACTAGGGAGGGGGGAGGGGGAAAGAAAGGAAGGGAAAAGAAAAACGATGATGAGAAAAGAAGGAAAAAATGGAAACAAAGCTTTTGTAAACAGGGGAGGAGGGGTTGAAGGGAGGGTAGAGGAATAGGAAAAAAAAGAATCAAGTTATATCATATGCAGGAACAAATTCCCTATAATGAATGCAATCATCATATATACCTAAAATGTACCAATAAACTTAATTTTTTAAAAAAGAAATAAAGGTAAAGGGAGCTAAGGGTGTGAGAAGCAGAAATTTTGTGAGTATCAGAATGGGCAGGGCATCATCAGAATGGGCAAGCCAAGTTTTATGCTGAGGCAGTTTTGGCACATACGCAACAACAGAGTTGCTGTTTAAATCAGCTTTTGAGGCCTTTCCAGCATTTTAACAAAAACCCTAAATGATTCTCCTCATGACCTAGCTTCAGATCTCCTTGATATTAATATGTGACTGAAACCAAGACAATTAACTGTTATTTTCTTTTTTTCTTTTTTTTTTTTTTTTGGTCTTTTTTTTGAGACAGGGTCTAGCTATGCAGTTCAGGCTGGCCTTGAGCTCACTTTGTAGCCCAGGCTGGTCTCGAACTCGAAACTACCCTCCTGCCTCAGCCTCCCGAGTGCTGGGATTACAGGCATGCCCACCACACCGGGCTTAACTGTTATTTTCATAACAATCTTTACTGGATCTTTGTGAGAGGTTTTACAATGATTGGCTTGCTGGATTCCTCCAGCCACTTTGTAACTTGTCAAAGGACCCCAGTAAGGAGGCATGAGCATCAGGAATCTGGCCCCTTCTCAGTGCTTCAGATTCCCTGTGATGTGAGAACAACACGTTTTTGGTCTGTACTGCTACAGTGAAATTCCTTGTGACTGGGTAATTTATAGACAACAGAAATGTGTTGTTGTTCTGGAGACTGGGAAGTACGAGACTAAAGTGTTGGCACTGTGTTCGCTGAGGGCTGCTGTCTGCCTCATGTGGCAGGTCACTGCTGCCTCCTCCAGAGGAATGAACACAGGCTTCATGTAGCAGGAGGGACGGGCCAGAGGGGCAGCACAATGTTCCCTTCAACCTTGAGCTCTCTGATACAGGTGCCGTCCCATCCTGATGGCAGAGCCGCCAAGACGCCTCCACAAGGCCACTCTTCCTACTCTTGCATTGGGAACCATCATTTAAATTGTAGAACATAAACTAATGGGGTGTTACCTTTCCTCCAGTCATGTATTCCAATTTGAAATGACATGATGTAAAAGTGTTCTCGTTAACTTTTTTTTTTAAACTAAAATTTGGGTAAGGACACTAATTTATTTTTTTGTTTGTTTGTTTTCTGGTACGGGGAATCGAACTCACAACCTTGTGCTTGCCAGGCAGATGCTGTAAGGACATGAATGTTAAACTAGATAGAAAATGTATAAGAAAATAAACATGACCACATTTTAGGTACATCAGGTTTGATTATTTCTTGTCCTATGACCCATTTACCAATTTATAAACAATCAGTTGAGGTTCAATATATCTTGTCCCAGTATCCAAATACACCAAAAGTAGTGATGGCCCGAGGCTCTGGGTTCAAGTCTCAGTCTCACTTCTATCTGTGGCCTTCCACAAGTTACTTACAGTACTTTTTATTCTCTCTTCCTTTCAGGAGTCTTCAGGTTGTTGAGGGGATGCCCTTGAAGGGAACTGTGGGACCCATCTCTCCTCCTCACTCTTCTCCCCCTCCTGGCCATGAGATAAGAGGATTGGTTCCACTATATGATCCCACTATGTGCTGCCTACTCAGAGCAGTGCACCTGGCTGACCATGGCCTGGACCCTTATAACTGTAAGCCAAGTAACCCTTTTCTGGTGCGTTTGTTAAAGTAATGGAAAGCTAATACATAGCCTACCTAGACCTCAATGTGAGGATAGATGTGAATAAAATTGAGATGATAAAGGCTAAAATTTTCTATATATGTCAGATGCTATGAATGAAATATCCATGTTTAATAGAGTTTAGTATCTCATACCACCTCCACAATGGAAACCATAGCATTTAGGGACTTTGTTAAAATCTTACTTTCACTAACTGTGTAGAAACATAAAACTCAGAACAGATCAAAGACCTACATGTAAGAGCTAAAGGATAAAGGAAACCATAAGTATAAATCTTTGTGACTTTGGGCAACAGTTTCTTAGATAAAACACAAAAGCACAGTCAGCCAAAGAAAGTATAAATTGGATATCATCAAAATTAAAAATTTGTATACTTCAAAGTATACTACTAAGATAGTGAAAAGACAGCTCTTAGAATGGAAGAAAATATTTGCAAATCATGCCAGGCATGGTGGCACACAAGCCTGTAATTCCAGCACTCAGAGGCTGAGGCAGGAGGATTGCTGTAAGTTTGAGGCCAGACTGAACTGCATATTGAAACCTTGTCTCAAAAAGACACACACACACACACACAAAAAAAAAAAAAACCAAACATCTAAATACACATTTCTTCTAAGGAAATATAATAAGCCAATCAGCACATGAAAAGATGTGCAAGATGATGATCATTGGAGAGATGCAAACTGCAACCACAGTGATATACTAATTCATCCACTGTCATTACTATAATAAAAAAAGATAATAGCAGGGATGTGGAGAAGTTGGAACCCCTGGTAGGAATGTAAAATGGAGCATCATCTATGGAAAATAGTAGAGTTGTTCTTCAAAAAATTAAACATAGGGGCCTGGGTATTCAGCTCAGTGGCACAGCACTTGCCTGGCAAGCGCAATGTTGTGAGTTCAATTCCTGGTACTGGAAAAACAAACAAACAAAAAATTAAACATAGAAGCCAGGTGCAGTGGCACACACCTATGATTCCAGCTACCTGGGGGACTGAGGATGGAGGATTGCAAGTTCAGGACTAGCCTGGGCAATTTATCAAGACCCTCAAAAAACCAAAGGGCTGGGGATGTAGCTAGGCATTCTCTGGGTTCAATTTCCAGTATAGGAAAAAAAAAGATTGGGAGAGTCAAAAGTTCGCTCTTTTCTTAACCACAGTATTCTAGGCAATTAAGTAGAATATAATTTTCCAGTAGTTGGTCAGCAAAAACATTAGCACCTACTGTGTGGCAGACACTAGGATTGCAAAATCTTAGGGCCTGCCCTCACAGAGTTTAGAGTCTCTCCTGAAAGACACAGGCAGATTCCAGGCAGTTACTGTAATTTGAGGCATTTTTCCCTACGGTTAAAGCAGAGTGAGGAGGAGGAGTGGAGGTGCAAGGGGGGGCAGGGGTGTGGCTCAGTGGGAACCTCAAGCTCGGCCTGTGCTGAGCTGGTGTGACAGTTTGGGTCTGGAGTGCCCCCTGACTGAGAGGTGGCAGAGGCACAACAGCACAGGACCCTGCCCTGGAAGGGGATATTGGAGATGGGACTCCTCTCTCTATTTCTGTCTCTCCGTTTCTCTGTCTCTGTCTCTCTGTCTCTGTCTCTCTGTGTCTCTGTCTCTCTGTTTCTGTGTCTCTGTCTCTGTTTCTCTGTGTCTCTGTGTCTCTGTCTCTCTGTCTCTGTCTCTATCTCTCTGTGCTTCCTGAGATCGAGGGTGAGCGGCTTTACTGTGCCGCATGCTGTCTGCCATGATGTGCTGCCTTGCCATAGCCACTTGCCATGCAGCCAGGCAACCATGAACTGAACCTCTGAATTCAAAGCGCCGGCAGACTGTTCCTCCTTTAAATTTTATGTTCTGAAAAAAGAAATAAAGTTTATATTCTGTTATTTTGTCACAGCTGCAGATGCTGACCAACACAATTGAGTTTAAGCTCCAGCATGGCGGTGGTATCTTTCTTACCCTTCACAAGGGTCACAGTTGAGTGTGTAATAAGAAAAATGCACACACAAAATTATCTAAGTTTTTTGTTTTGTTCTTTGAGAGAGGGTCTTGCTATGTAGTTCAGGCTGGTCTCAAACTCATTATGTAGCCCAGGCTGGCCTCATACTCAGCCTCCTGAGTGCTGGGATTACAGGTGTGCACCACCATGCCCAGCCAGATTTATCTGAAGTTTTATGCAACATGGGAAAACTTCATCAGGAAATGAAGACCTAAAGAAACAAACAGGTCAACCTGTGGTTTCCTTTTGTTTTGCAAGACAGGGACTCAGAATATTATCCAGGCTGGACTTGAACTCACAATCCTCCTACCCCACAGCTTCTGCTGGGATTAGAGCTGTGCACCAGCATGCTGAGCCTAAACTTGCATATTTCTGCTAGGTTTGATGTAGAAGTGGGTAGTCATGAAGATAAGATGCATGCTTGGGTGAAAAGTGTGGTTATAAACTGGGGATTGGCAGACTCAGCAAGGCCTGTTGGTTCAGATTCCTCTCTGTGTTCCTTTGCCTTCAGAGATAAGACTGTTTGTGCTAAGGGTAGTGGCCCATGCCTGCAATCCCACTACTCAGGAGACTGCAGTTTAGAGAGACCCTGTCTCAGATGTCAAAAGGACTGGGGATACAGGACTGCAGAGAGGGAGGAGAGAAGGAGAGAGAGAAAGAGAAAAAGTAAGAAAGGAGAGGGAAAAGGAAAGATTCTCTGGGTACAGAGAGGCCTTGCGGGGTGAAGATGAGAGTGTTCATGTGGTTTTCTCACGTGCCAGAGATGTTATATTTGGGGGCAGTATGTCCTGAACCCTAGAAGGGTCGGGTGCAAGAAAGGTTTCTGATGGAAATGGTCTCTGCCCTGAGACGTGAGGCCTGAGTAGCAAACAGAAGAGGAAAGAACAGAGAAGTGTTCTTTGCAGAGAATCATATTTAAAAGCCCAGTGGAGACATAGAACATGACTTTTATTCCAGGAACTTTAGTAGTTAAGGACAGCTGGAAATTTTAAAATGAGATGTGACAGATACAACCAGAGAGCCGGGGCCACGTGAACAGAGGGGGATGGGGAACTGCTAAAAACCTCTCCTAGCCAGGTATGGCAGCATATGCCTATAATCTCAACACGCAGGAGGCTGAGGCAGGAGGATTGCAAGTTCAAGGCCAAACTGAACTACATGGCAAAACCCTGCCTTAAAAATAAGTAAATATGCCAGGCATAGTGGCAGATCCCGTAATCACAGCACTCAGGAGGCTGAGGCAGAAGATCACTATGAGTTTGAGGCTCGCCTGGGCTACATAGTGAGACCCTTCCTCTAGAAAAAACAAAATAAATAAATGAATGAATGAATCAATACCTTTCCTGAAGTGAATCTCAGGAGTTGAAGAGGTATGCGGTTTAGCTCTCCAGCTGTGAGGGGTGCAGCTGCCTGACAGCCTCTAACTGCTGCCCCTAAGATCTGGTCTGGCGTTCCTGCTGGTGCTGTGCTGCCCAGACTGCCTCTAGCCAAGAACCAAGATTAGCAGAGCTTCAGGAGCCAGTCCATCTCCACCCAGGCCTGGGCTCCTTGGACACCCAGGCTCGTGACTGCATGGGAATGGAGAGTTGCCTGCAGTGTGAGGACGCTTGGCTGACAGCAGGCCACCTGTCAGATGCTGTTCTGTAGCCGTCACTCTGGCCAGTGTGGGGTCAGACATACCAGTCTGTCAGCATTGTTTCATAGTGGGTTTATTGGTGGCGCCTGGAGGAGTTGAAAAGTGTGGCTGGCCAAGGAACTGGAACTGCCCAGATGTTCCACGGGGCCCTCTGAGAGGTTCAGCCATGAGTCAGTATTGGCCTTCTTGGGATTTACACCTGAGGTGGAGCACAGCGCTTCAGTGGGACCCACAATGACGGACAGAGCAGTTTGCCTGTACTGTGGCTCTAGCCCTTAACTGTACTGCTTTTACCGTACTGTAGTCTCTACGTGGAAGAAATGGTGAGCATACACTTTGGAGTTCTGTGAGTCCTTTCAGCAAGGAGCCACGAGATATTTAAAGCACAGTTAAGAGCCTCTAGCAGCCTGGCTGTGCTTTCTGTGTAGCTCCTGTCTGATGCTCTCACCTTGCCTTCTTTTCTCCCCTTCCAGGTGGCAGACCTACCTACACCCCCAGTCCTACTCCCTCCCTGCTGAATTCTGCAAAACTGTTCATTCCCCAAGTAAATTCTGCCATCTGATTCTGTTCCAGCATCAGCATCTCAGAGACCTCATCTGGAACACTTAATTCAGGTGTGGCTGGTAAAGTAGACCGTTGGGGGCTGCACAACTTCTTATCTGGCTAGAATACCCTGTTAACCCAGATAGAATGTGGGGCACTGAGTGCCTGGGCATGAGGGGCTGAAGATTCCATGGTGAAAAAGAAAAAAAAAAAAAGATTCCATGGTGGTTTTCTGGAAAATATTCCGGGGAGAGGAACACCTTGATGCTGAGATGATTTGGGCATTATGAGATAGGAGAGAAAAAGTACTTTTTTTTTTTTTTTTTCTGGTACCAGGAATCAAACTCACGACCTTGCACTTGCCAGGCAGGCGCTGTGCTGCTAGGCTAAATCCCCAGCCCCGAGAAACAGTACTTATAAGGACAGTGGAGTTGGCTGGTTATTGTAAGTTGTAACAGTGACCTGTGTAGGGATAATGAAAACAGGAGTTAACACCTAAGGCTAGGTGGAAAGCCAAAGGCTCTTTGGTAGCTTACAAAGAGGTGCTCATTTCCTCCATGGAGAATGGATATATCACAGGAGCCATCTCAGGAATCAGTGTCATTGAGCTCCAGACACATTTCAAGGGCCATCCAAGGCATCCAACAATGATGTCATTGTGCTGACATCAGAGTCCTGGTTAAGAGGTTGAGAAGTCCTGGGATGTAAAAGGAGGCATCCGGGTGAACGACCCAAAAGACTCAGCTCTGCAGACTCAGAGGTTAAAGAGACATCTATCTTCTGCCCCCAATAAGAGCTAGCATGTTCCCTACATAGGGAGACAAGCTTTCTGACTGCAGGTTTACCCCTCAGGAGCAACCTCCTGCTCCTTCCTTGACAGCCAGTGTGATAATCAAGGTTAAATCCC